AACCGAAGAGAAATCAGTTAGAGAAAAAGAATCGGCTACCTGCAAACCATTATAAAACCAAACTCGACTAACATGCAGGAACAGATAAAATTGTACAATGTATCATCAACAAGTATCATAAAAATTGTTCAACTTGTTACTACACACATTGTTATTAACCAACCAAAATAAACTGACACAAGCTTTTTAAACTAAATGTGTAAAATCAATGTTCTATTTACTAGTCTAGCTTTCCTCTGTGGCTAATGCATGTATACCATTCTATGATGTTATTTTTAATATTTAGCTTTGCTGTTTCAAACATACAGAGATGTTTTCACGATCTATCAAAATATTTCTAATAATTATTAGAAACGAGGTATTCCTAAAATTACGGGAACCACTGAGTATTTTAGAATATAAAACAATAGAAACTCCGTGAAAAGTAAATATTCTGAAAAATATAATTTTCGACGTTTGGCCTAAAATTTTTACTTTCTACGGAGTTTTATATGGGTATTCCTAGTTATAATTATTTAACCTTAGTTACGATAAATGGAAGTTTAGACCTTTTAAATGTTAAATAAACAAGATTAATATTTCACGTTCCTGCTATTTCACAATTAGGTTGGTATTCCTAGTTACGATTACTTCAAATTTCTTATTTGAAAAACAGCAACAAAAAGCTATTGTCACCGGTCGGTGACTATCACTTCAGAGACAGTGAATCTTGACCAATCAGAATGCAGGAAAATCAACAGTAACCTCGAAATTTATACCAAAAGATGTTAGTAGAGCGAATTAAATGGTGTTATACTCCCACTGCTCTTTCCGGCACACAATGGTCAAGATGAGGGTATTAAGGCCTGATTTTCACATGTCGTAATTCATCGCCGATGGCCTACGATCTATTGTCGGTGATCAATGAAGTAAAATATTTTCTTCGATAGACAAAGGATTTTATGCATCAATGACCACCGACAATGGCCATCGCTGATAAATTACGACACATGAAAATCAGGCTTAACAATGGGGGTTAATACCATCCTCGTCCCCAGGGCCTAGCTCCGTTGCTCTGAGAGCAACGGAGCTAGGCCCTGGGGACGAGGATGGGTTAATACTTTAACCACCGGGTGTTAATATAACCGGAAGTCGTGACTTTGAACCTCAGCCGAATAAAAAGTAATAAAAGGTATCTATGCCTACGTTTTTGTCGCGCATTTTCACCGGTTGTTTCCTTACGTATACGTTTCCTTTGAACCTACTTGCTATATATTCTGCGATTAATGGAAATATGTAAATGATGTCACTGCTTCCGAAGTCATAGCCAAACATGACAACTCAACAATCCAATCAGATCTTGATTATATGTCCTCTTAGTCCTCCGCAAATTATATTAAGTTAAATGTGAAAAAATGTAAAGAGCTTGGGATAGCTTTCTTCCGTGATGCACCTATGTTAGAACGTACCGCTAAGTATTGACGAAACAGCAATAGCCACTGTTGACTGCCACAAGGTTTTTGGTACAGTATTAAATAGCTCGCTAAAATGGGCTGGTCATGTTAATATGATTACAAAGAAGGCAGCTAAGCGCCTTTACATTATACGCACCTTTAAGAAAAGCGGTATATGTCCGCAGATGATTTGTTAATTTATATAATGCACTCATTTGTTCGGTCTTAGAGTACTGTTGCGCAGTTTGGCACATGCACTAACCTACCATCGTATCTTAGCGAACAAATTGAACGTTTGCAGAGGAGAGTTTTAAGAATAATTTACCCGAATTTATCACACAGAGAAGCATGCACTGTCTGCTGCAGATTGCGTAAGGACGAAAACAGACAACGTCTGTGCTTTAATCTCCTCCAAAAGATGAAGTTAAACACTGATAACAAACTCAATACGAATAATTTCGGCAAAGTGTCTTTCGGCAAAAAGTCCGGCCACCATACCTATATAATGCTAGGCTCAGTGAACAAGGTCGCGATCATTCCGTAACTCTGATAACTTTTCTATTTTTCAAATGTAGTACGGATCGATTTAAACTCAGTTTCTTTCCAGAGTTAACCCAATATTCTAACAAATGCAGTCAATTAAAATATTTTTTAACATATGTAGGACAAAATTAATAGTATCTGTCCAAATGGTCAATATTTCAACAATATTTATATAGTTATTTATAATCGTTTTAACTTTTTGTAATATTTAATGCATGCATGTATAGGAGACAATAGCGTATTTAAATTATCCAGTTATTATATTTTGTGTTTAATAGAGTTACAAAGCTAGACCATTTACAATACTTGTAAATATAAAGTATTTCACTTCTGTGCAATTTTATATATTTAATAAATCTTTAATAGTATACCTGCATGTATTTTTAATCATTAGGTATCAACTGGAAACTTGCCATTAGCTATCGCGTGTTCATGCAGAGAGTTAAAATCGCTCAAGAGGGAGAATGTATGTAATTGCTGTGGCGTTTTCAAAAGTGCCTCTCTTAATTAAAAGTATCTCCAGATACACCATAATCTCTTTCTGTATAACATGTAATAATACTGTACTTATACCTTCATTCGTATTCTCCCCGGCTTTCTCGGCTACATTAATGCATGGTGCATATACTCTTCACGATTATGGACCACAGCAAACCAACAATGCGTATTGCTGAATTATTGGTTCGCTCTGGTTTTAAATGAATACGAAAGAAAAATTCGAAACATGTGAAATTTGTGCAATTTTCAAATTAACAGATCCCGCTTTGCTAAGAGCTGAATCGATACACACGTTGCCATTCGCAGGTAATAAATTTATTTTGTTTCAAATCCCGTCAATTGACCGTATCTTTAAGAGGCCATGATAATAACTTCCTTGCTCTTGAGGGTCGGAACTTTTGCAATCTAACTGCAACGACTTCCTAAAAGTGCGATGTATAATATTGTGGAATCATAGGTTACTCGAAACAGCTAGGGCTTTTTAACAACTAAGCACCCGTTAGGTTTAAGTTTATAATTAACTAAATTGTTTTCAAATTGCATAACCACAGTGTCTACTTCATCGCAGATATACACGTTATGAACAGCCCCCAACTAATAAGGTCCGCCTAGGCCATTTTTGTTTCCTATTATTACGTATTTTTTATTTCATATAGTTCGTAAAACTAACACAACTGCATGATAGAAATTTAGTTTATGTGGATCTCAAATGTCACAAATAATATGTCTGGTATTTGAGTGCAAAACTAAATTTTTGCAAATAAATGTAGGGAACTTTTTGTAACATCCCGAGGAAACAGTTGCCTTTGTAATTTAATTGATCAATATCATAACTCAAAATAAGTCATCCAACAGTCTTTTTGATGAAACAAAGATCGCTCATCGAAATAACAAAAGAAAATTTTTGCAAAAAATGTAGGGAACTTTTTGTAACATCCCGGGAAACAGTTGCCTTTGTAATTTAATTGATCAATATCATAAGTCAAAATAAGTCATCCAACAGTCTTTTTATGAAACAAAGATCGCTCATCGAAATAAAAAAAGAAATTTTTGCAAATAAATGTAGGGAACTTTTTGAACATCCCGGGAAAGTTGCCTTTGTAATTTAATTGATCAATATCATAAGTCAAAATAAGTCATCCAACAGTCTTTTTGATGAAACAAAGATCGCTCATCGAAATAACAAAAAGAAAATTTTTGCAAATAAATGTAGGGAACTTTTTGTAACATCCCGGGGAGACAGTTGCCTTTGTAATCTAATTGATCAATATCATAAGTCAAAATAAGTCATCCAACAGTCTTTTTGATGAAAGATGGCTCATCGAAATTTTTCGTTAACAAAAAGAAAATTTTTGCAAATCCGAGCTGCATGGATTCAATAATCCATAAGAGAGATCCGTGATTTCGCTAAAGCATGGCTTTTTAACAAATAAGTACCCGTTAGGGTTAAGTTTCACTAAATTGTTTTCAAATTGACCACAGTATCTGTCTTATAGCAGATATATACGTTATGAACAGTCCCCAACTAAGAAGATCCGTCTAGGTCTCTTTTGTTTCTTATTATTACGTTTTTTTATTTCGTAAAACTAACACAACTGATAGAAATTTAGTTCATGTGGATCCCAATTGTCACAAATAATATGTCTGGGTTCTGAGTGCACATCTACCAATTAATCGAGAATTAATCCAGCCCAACATTCCAACGTCTTAGATACACTTTGAACCACATAAAATATAGGGATTTGCTAAGCCACCAAGCCTATTACTTATTATGAGCAGAATCTTTGATCTCATGCATATCCTGCATATTTTATTAAATAAGTATGAACTGGCACTTGAAGAAACTTGCCATGCATTATCGCGTGTTCATGCAGAGAGTCAAAGTCGCTCTTTTTGTCCGGCAAGAGGGATAATGTAATTGCTGTGGCGTTTTTAAAACTGCATATCCTTCCTTTGATTAGGAAACATCTAGGACTATAGATACACCGCAATCTCCTATAACATATAAAAATATACATGTACTTACGCCTTCATGCTTATTCTCATGCTTTTTTTTCATCTACATGCATGATACTCTTCGAAATTACCCAAAGAGATTTCTTTGGCAATGAAAATTAGGAACTTTTTACAACATCCTGGGAGACAGTTGTGTAAATCATCTAATGGATCAATATCATGCGTCAATCATCGAACAGTCTTTTTGATGAAACAAAGATCGCTCATCGAAATTTTTCGTTAACAAAGAGAAAATTGTGCAAATAAATGTAGGAAACTTTTTGTAACATCCCGGGGAGACAGTTGCCTTTATAATTTAATTGATCAATATCATAAGTCAAAATAACTCATCCAACAGTCTTTGTTGAAACAAAGATCGCTCATCGAAATTTTACGTCAGAGGATATCACGTCAGTTCCTCCATATAGATTTTAAACCACGAAAGATTCCTTATAAAAGTCTCTGCATTTCTCTAAAGCTGATATAAGATCGTGCCAATAGTACAACTACATCGCATGTACCAGTTTAAAAATGGCGTTTAGCAAAAGTTCACGAAATATCAAAATTCACGATTCTGTCCTCAGTGCTGATTGCCAAGACCTTCAAGGGTTCTATCAACCTTCTACACTTAATCTGAATGACTACATTGCTAACGAGGATGGTTCCATGGTCTGGAGGAAAGGAGGAAACTTTTGGGCGAGTTCCAGAAACAGCAGCCTAACTGATCCCGCGATTTTGCACGCTGAATGCAGAAGAATTGATGGGTCTTACGCCTCCAGCCAAATTGATCTAGATCAGAAGATTGCCAACATTGATGGAAAGTTGACATTCTCTGCCTAATCGCAGTAAAACTGTTCACGGTATTCGACCTCTAGTTGCAGAAATAATCTTAGTAAAATTAGTACACACTAAACATTTACATGCAGTAGTGAAATCCATGCATACCTTATTAACGGTTACCTTATTAAATGTTACTTTTTGAATAAACGCGAAGCCAGTGTGAACAAAATAAAGAAGTTAAGCGAATTACTGCATTGCGTAAGTTCGTATGTATTTTTCCATCTAATCGTTTGTGAGAATATCACTATGAATGAATTTCTTTGTTAGCAAGTATCTGGAACACTTTTGAGACGTTTTACGAACAATTTCGGACAGCAAAGAATTATTTAAAAATTATTTTTAAGAATTATTCTTTATCTTCACTTCAACCCAATTGTGCGCAAATGAAAACAAATTATTAGTTGATAATTGCGCAATATAAATTGCTAAATTATTATTATTAATCCAATACATGATAAATAAATACAACCGTACAAATTGAAAAATCGTAATCGAGAATAAAAGCAAACACAGAGTAAAACAACTATGGTCTATATACTGTTAAATACTAAATGGTTTTCCGTGCAGGATCGATAGCGTGACACCTGCACACGGGATATTGTGAGACTTTCAGAAAGCGTGAAAAACACGAGCCGTAATTTGCTTTAAAAAAACCTACAATAAAACAACGATCAAATTTATTTAATTGGTTAGCAGAATTTTGGAATTATAAACAAACCAATCAGAGACTCTGAAGTTAGGGAAAACCGTTGTTCCATATTTTCTTTAACTTGTCTATCGTTTACTATTATTCAATATTCACGCGTAAAATTGTACGATATTTTCAAAATCCCACGCGAAGCCGAATTGTAAACTTTCCCGTGCAGGATTGTCAAACACAACTAATTATGCTTGTGAAATTTTATGATGAAGTGACTTGCAAATTTAACGTTTCATACGGATTAAATATTATTATTTAAGTATGGAGTAACAGTTGGTTTATCTAACACGCAAAGTCGAATCTATCAACGAATCTAAATTATTAAATATTATAATTTCCACACAATTCTGTCATTTTCATGTGTTAATTTACACTCAAAATAAACTTCGATCGTAAATCTATTTTCAGTTTAATTTCTTGGAGATCCATTAAGGCAAATTCAATTTCATCTGTCTTCGCATCAATAGACAAGCCAGCTTTGTTAAGCAAAACGGTAAAACGGTGTTTTAATTATGACGTAACCTTCGGAAAACTTCGGTAAATGTCGTGCGATTCGAAGATTGAAGAGTAACAAGTACGATCGTACTATAGTGGACCAGGAACTGCGTAACCGCTAGTTTAATTTCTGAACTGCATTGTATTTATAACAATGGAGAGGACAATGTATTTCTAATCGTTTCCGTTTACTTATATATAGGCTGAATATTAATGATATGCATATATTATTTACTGCAAATATATCAAGAATTGCTTGTAACTTGCTTCAAAGGTCAAAAGTAAAAATTCGAACTCCGTCAATCGATACGGAATATTGCTTAGAATAATTGTGCCAAGTTTCATTCCGATCAAACAAGTAATGATAGAGCCTTAGGGTTTTTTTAAAGAGCGTCGCCCCCTAACAACAACAAGAAGATTAGCAGCGGTTAGGGACCAGTTCCTGGTCCAAAAAGTTGCAGTAATTTATGCGCCGAGGCCGCGAGGGAGACTGCTGCCTAGAACCCCACCAAAAAAAAAATAATAAAAAAAACAAAGCCGAATTTATGACCTTGTGTCTACCGACCCAAGGTAATTAGGTTTTAATTTGGAGTGTATAATTATTTTTTGTTACTATTACTGTAGTGAGTAGTCAAATATGGCACGTACACGGTTGCTTGCCAACAGCTGGCGTTTCGCGAGGGGAGCATAATGTTTTTGTTAGTGGCTCCCGTGCAAAATTAATTTAAAACAGAAAGAAAATCTTCCCCGCTCGTAAAATTCCGTCTATAGTGGAAAATGGGTTTTCCATGGCGCATAAATGAAAAAAAATTAAGGTAATGCATTTAGTTGTTCACTATGAAAATTAGATAATGCGCCGAAAAACTCGATAGGGAGAGGCGGATATGCTTCTTCAAAAAATGTTCAGGTGAAAGACGATTAACATTTCTAATAATTAACATATTTTTCATGTCAGGTAAATTTGGCTAAAATACAATAAACACGTGACTAGAAAGGAACCATTTTTGGAATAAGCCTGTGGCCGGTTGTATAAAACTCTTTAACTATATTTCGCATGGTTAAATCCCAGAGTTAACTCAGATAAACACAACTCTGATTGACCAATTCTGTCTTTAACTATAGTTAAAAGTTAACTAGTCTTTAATAGAACTTCTGCCATTCTGCCGTGGTTTTGCTACCCACCGTGAATGAGCTGATATACGGTGAGTAGCTCCACCATCAGATTGCGGAATAGCTCATATACAGTGACTAGCAGTATTATAAATTTTATTAATTGTGGTCTGACCGGGTCAGCGGGACGATATTATGCTGAATTGCAATATTCAGATTCGGAAACAGCCGGAAAACGAACGGAACGGATCCTGCTTTAAACAGGATATTTTCTGCCACATAAATACTGCATATATGTCCGCCCGGGACGATATTATACTGACTTGCAATATTCAGATTCGGAAACCGCCGGAAAACGCCGGTTGCAGAGTCATTACCGAAAATTAGTTATTACTCGTGCTCTAGGAGAGCACGAGTCTAGGTTTCGTCGTGTGTCGGTCGCGTTTTGGACCTCGATGACCCAGAATGCATTGCGTACTTGACCCAGTAATGTTGACGAAATGTAATTATCCGACAATACAAGCCACATTTTACAAACAATACGGCAAATATATATATATAAAGAGAAGACATTACTACGGTGCAACATTTACATGCATATTGATTGGTGCGATGTATATATTTTTAAATTCCAATATGAAAGCAAGATATATGATGATCGATGTTTTCGCGGTGTTATAGACGTACAAATGCTTATAAATTATACTTATTTAAAATACCTAAATGTTTGAACCGTCGACTGACATTACGAACAATATGAATCAATACTATTACAACCAGTTTTTTTTCGTCGGAACTAAAACCGGCACTGCAGTCTGCATGCAGGACTTCAATATAGAAGCATTGACACAGTCATATGTCACGCCGTGTTGATTTTTAGGCTACCTATAATCGGCATTTGTGAATTGTGATAATAATGTAAATGTATTATTTTATACTTGTGTGATACATTTTTGTCGTGTAAGTCCTCCCAGGCCCAGGGTAACCACAAAGCCTTAACTTACGCTATAGGTTCCAACAACACGCCATGATTGTGTCCCTCAAGACAGTCAAGTAATGCTATCAAATCCCTAGAACACAATCCCTAGGGCATGAGTGTACGCCTAAGCCGGCGTCTTGTTCATGATTAGTTTTGCAGTTCTGTTTGGCATAGTACTTGAACGCAAGCTATAATATAGGTATTTGAGAAACTTATACAGAAATATACAGAAATTGAGCACGACATTGTAGTTTCAGTTTTAGTATTTGCTTGCAAAACTTTCCATTTAAATATTATTGAGTATTGTTCTTTTAAGTTAGAACGCCTAACAATGATGTGCAGATGTGGTACCTGCATGTCATTGCTTATTATAATAGAGCAAGACAACGTACCCGTTAGTACGTGTTAGTCTAGCAGCGGTCCAACGAGAAATTCTAACTAAGAAAACATTCATTTGAATTCATTGCTTTTAACGACAGAAGTATCTGTCAAGAATAATATTTCTTTTCTATACGAGTTTTGATCTACATATTGTGTTTAATTAAAATTTAACTGCATGTCTTTGTGTGCATGTTATGATTGTTTTCTGACAGACACAGATTCGGTGGGTATGGGATTCTTTGCCAACAATCACGTGCAGAGATAGCGACAACATAACATAACCGTGATAACATGCGAACATAAAATATAAAGAACTCGGCAGATCTAAAAGACACGGACATTGTACACAACTAGTTCTAATTATTTTTGACGAGAACCAGCATGCATGCATACGTCTCATTTGCAATTATTATACATCTAACCAATCACAATAAAGAACTTTTGTTTTCGATATTTACATATTAACTGAATACACCGTCGCATACGTCTTTCGCATGTCAACAGTCAACTATTTACGCGAAGCAAATCTCAAGCTGTATATCACATAGCATATTATATCTTTCTATAAAAAATTATGGATGGTGTTAAAGAATATATAATATCCAAGAGATTTAGCATCTTATCCTACATATGTGTGGTCATCCATTTTCACTGTGGAGTGATATTTACTGCAATTACAACGTCTCTCAGACTTAGCGAGATGGAAAGGTTCAATTGTGCTGTTGACACAAGATATGCAACTCACAAAAGTTATGTCGAGAAAACGTGTTTTTCACTATACGATAACGAGTACAACTCTCCCGTGAAATTCTCTGCCTTCGTTCTGTTGAGTTATGGTTCTGTTGTTGTTTTGAGTGTCGTTTATTCGCTCGCTGTTGGCAATCGTATCGAAGATGCAGTACTCTCAATTAGAAGTGACGAATCTCAAACAGTCGCCAAGAAAGGGAACATTGAACAAGGTAGAAAAACCTTTTATGTTTTCAATTTCTATTTATTCCACCTTGTGGCTCGTTCAATGCTCTGCATCGTATTCACAATCCTTCAGCATACTGTATTATATCCGAATGGTTATAATTCTCAATTCAGTTGTGTTTATCCCGAATTGAGATCAGTCGGTCCCAACATCACTCCAGCAAATAATGGAAGTGCCAACCTATCTAGTGTAAAATGTACGAACTCGGCTGCCAAGGATAAACAGTTTTGGTTGACAATTGTGTCTGTTTGTAATGGCATTTTTGCTGTAATTGCATTAGCAGAAATTGTTTATCTACTGAAGAAGCGATTTTTCCGTCTCACCCCTCAATCTTCTACATGGTCATGTGATTTGCGATTTAT